CACTATGCCGAGTCTCAATTGCCTTCTCAGTGCAACCTGAGGGCAAGGCTAGCACGGCAGGCCTGGGGATCGAACCCCTGGCCCCTTGGGCTTGGTCCTGACATCACATGGAGAGCAGAGAGAAGAGAAGTCCTGAGGAAGCACACAGTGCCTGGCTCTTTAGCCTTGGGGAAACACACAGTCTGGAGGAAATGGGAGGAGGGTGATTGGAGAGAGGGAAGCACAGGCGGAAGAGCAGGAGGAGGTGGGCTAGCTTACTCCTCCATCTGCTGGATCACACGGGATCATCAGGTGTTACTAGAATATGCTCAGGGAATTGCTGCCTGGCCTCTAGCAATCAAGACCACCACCAACTCCCCGAGCGGGGGTCCTGCTGGAGGGTGGAGGGCAGTGTGACGCTAAAAGGGAGCCCAACAAGGAGGAGGACTGGCCCTATCCAGTAGCAAGGAGGAGCTGGAGGGGAAAGGAGCATGGCTGGTGAGGCCGGCCCTGCTCCCCGCCTGGCCCCTTCCCTGCCAGGGCCTGAAAGGATGCTCAATCTGTTTAGGAGCTAGGGAGTCCATGTGCCCCACAGCTGGAAAGAAATTTGAATCGTGGATTTCTCTCCTTTCTCCCTGAAGTTTGATTCTTAGTCTCCCCCTTTTGATGTTATTTTTAAAAGCCCTGCGGTTCCTTTGGGGGAGTCTCCAGGGCAGGTTAATGGCAGATACTTCTCCTCCTACCTGCAGAAAGAGAGCAGGCAAGCGTTTGTGTGTGTGTGTGTGTGTGTGTGTGTGTGTGTGTGTGTGTGTGGTGTGTGCAGGATTTTCCATGTTGGCAACTCCAGAAAACGCATCTGTACTTCCAAAGGCCAAGGCATAAGGCTCTGGTCCAGTGGAGGACTAGGGCTGTTGACCAGAGTGAGGGCTGGGGGGGAGGAGAAGAGGGAAACTGAGAGGACAGGAAGAGAGAGAAAGAGGCCCAGAGGAGAGAACAGAGAGGCACAGGGAGGCGAGCAAGGGCAGCAGAGCACCTAAGGCAGTGCCTTGTGGGCAGAGGAGGACACAAAAAGACATTGGATCAGGAGGAATGCAGGCCCACAGGAGGGAAGGAATGCATGAAAGACAAGAATCAAATGCAGAAGGCACATGGGGAAAATAAGAAGACAAGAAAAACATGACAAGGGGAAAACATAAGGCAAAAGAGGCAGAACAAAAGAAAATGGAGTGCATGAAAATTTGGAGATAAAGAAACTGAGGAGAGAGGGAATCAGGACCATGTACCATTTTTACCATCAGCTCTAATAAGCCCTCTTAGCAGGTGGCTAGTGGGGACCAGCGGAGGGTGGGGCCAGGAGGCAGGGCCCGCCCTCCCGGAGGCCGGCAGGAGGCCTCCCCTGGGTGGGGCTGCCCAGCAGAGCCTCAGGGTATAAATTGGAGTCTGGGGCCTGCTGAGCACCTGTCAGGGGCAGCTCCGGAACACAGGTGCCAGGCCGGTGGCTCTGCTTCCTGCGGCCCCACCATGAGCTCCTACGACCTCCCAGCGCCCTCCCCGCCTCGCTGCAGCCCCCAGTTCCCCAGCATCGGCCAGGAGCCCCCTGAGATGAACCTTTACTATGAGAACTTCTTCCACCCACAGGGCGTGCCCAGCCCTCAGAGGCCCCCCTCCTTCGAGGGAGGTGGCGAGTATGGGGCCACCCCCAACCCCTACCTCTGGCTCAGTGGGCCAGCCATGACCCCACCACCTTACCTGCCGGGCACCAACACGAGCCCCTTCCTGCCCCAGGCCTATGGCATGCAGAGGCAGCTGCTGCCCAGCATGTCCGGGCTCGGGGGCAGCGACCTGGGTTGGCTGCCCATCCCCTCACAGGAGGAACTGATGAAGCTGGTGCGTCCCCCCTACTCTTACTCAGCTCTTATTGCCATGGCCATTCACGGGGCACCTGACAAGCGCCTCACCCTCAGCCAGATCTACCAGTACGTGGCCGACAACTTTCCCTTCTATAACAAGAGCAAGGCTGGCTGGCAGAACTCCATCCGCCACAATCTGTCCCTCAATGACTGCTTCAAGAAAGTCCCTCGAGACGAGGATGACCCAGGTAAGGTGGCTGCCAGGGCAGGGTGGGGGCATCCTTCAGCAAGCTTCTGGGTGCCCAAGCCAGGCTTATTTCCTTCCTGCCCCAAGCCCCATTCCCAGAAGCTCTGGTTCGGGTTGTTCCGTCCTCAGATCTCCAGGACTGAGGCTGATCAGAGACAGAGCTGAAGGGAGGTGGAGGGGAGCACCGGCCTGGGGCAGATGTGGGTTTCAATGGGCTCCAGTCAATGGCCTTGGTCAGGCTAGATCTCTAAGCCTCAGCTTCTTCATCGGACAAATACAGAGGCTACCTTCTAAAGAGTTTACAGGCTCATGGTGGAGGTGAGATACTATATGTGAAGCCTTTAGCACTCGCAAAAATTTAATGGGCTGCAGTCAGTATTATGATTCATGTGCATTTCCAGGATGCAGGGCTCGGGAAATTTCCATTGCTGAGAATGGTCCACACCACGCCCCACTAGGGCAGAGGTTCTGACCTTTGGTGGACACACACCCTACCTTCTGAACCTCCTTTAATAGCCACAACAGGAGTACCTGCATGAGCCCATTTCACAGATAAGGAAAATAGCAGAGAAGTGGAACAGTCCACCTATCTTAGGTGACACAGGATGAAGTGTGAATGATGGTGCTTTGTTCTAAAATCAGGTCCAGCCCAGAGGATGTGACCTCCTTTGTTATGACAAATATCTAAAGTACTGAGACCTGCAGAGTGCTGTGTAGTAAACATTCAGGAATCCCTTTCCCAGAATTACAGTCCATTGTTGTTTTGCCATAGGATATCAGAGTAGCCAAAAGGAACCTCACTTTGCTCCCTTTGATGTTGGCAGTGGCCAGGTCTATCTGTCCCCTAGAAGAGAGCAAGTGTCCATGATGAACTGCCCTTGCCCTCCAGCTGAGAGAGAGCAGGAGGAGCTTGCCTTCCTTCCCGCAGTACCTCACAGTTACAAAGCTCTCTTGTACCACTAGTGTCTGTCCTTCCCCATGTGGAGCCAGAGAAGCAATGGACAGGTCCAGTGGCTCATCTGTCAGACCAGGAAACCGAGATTCACCCGAAGTCCTTTAGTTGTCAGGAGCAAAGCCAGGGCTCCAGCCCATCTTTGGACCCCAGCCCAGGACCACTATTGGGAAGTCCTGAATGTTTTTCTGGGTTTTCTTTATCCTCAGCCATGGAAGCATCCCTCACTGCCTCACCCCACTCCACACCTCTGCCCCCCACCCCAGTGCTTCAGCCTTCTGAAAGGGACTACCTGTATGCCTCACATGCCTATGCCTCTTCCTTGTGGACTCACACAGTTCCCCACCATCTGGAGGATCCTTACAGAAAGTTGGATACGGTGCTGTGGGGTGGGTGGGTGGTTTGTAGAATTCCTCCATTTCTCAGTCCCAGGCTTTTGTTCTTCTCTCCTCTCTCTACATTTGGCATCTTTGTTTTTAAGTTGTGGCAATAATGAAGGAGAGAAGGAGAGAGGCATCTTGTCCACCTCTCTGTAGTTACCTCACACTTTTGTTGCAGGCAAAGGGAATTATTGGACTCTGGATCCCAACTGTGAGAAGATGTTTGACAATGGAAATTTCCGCAGGAAGAGGAAGAGAAAATCAGACATTTCCTCCAGCACAGGATCCTTAGCCTCAGAGAAAACCGATAGCAGTCTCCTGGCAGGCAGCCCCAAGAGCTCAGAGTCACAAGACATCCTGGACAGTGGCTCACCAGCCACCTCCAGCTCCCCGGAGAAGCGGTGCTCCCCACCCCCCTCAGGCACCCCATGCCTCAACAGCTTCCTTTCCAACATGACGGCCTATGTGAGTGGGCCAAGCCCAGTGGGCCGCCCCATGGGCACACCAGGACTGAGCCCTGAGCCCTCTGACAAGATGGGGCAGGGACCTCTGAGTTTCAATTCCTACACCCCACTCACCAACCTCACAGGCCATGGGAGCGGGAACGAATGGGCCAGCTCTGCATCCACCAATGCGCTTGGCTATGGAAGCTCAGTCCTTAACCAGTTCAGCCCTCACTTCTACAACAGCATCAACACCAACAGCGTCCTGTACCCCAGGGAGGGCACAGAGGTCTAGGATATAAACAACTCCTGGGCCACATGAACATGACCCAGAGAGAAGCAGCCAAGTCCCCTAAATCAGCTCCTACACCACCCTGTGAGCCAGGACCTCAGAATCACCTGTGCATAATACAGGAGCCTCAAGAGAGCACGTTCTCTTTCCAGAACACTGTTCAAGCTCTCTGTTCACCACACTCAAGTCCACGCAGAGACTTAACCAGTTTGGCAGTGGTAATGCTGGTGCTGGGCAGCAGTCATGGTGGTGGCAGTTTTTTGAGCCCTTGTTCTGTGCAGGGGGCTGTAGTAGGCCCTTTGCAGGTATGGTCAGATTTGCTCTTTAGAGTTACCCTGTGGGAGTCACATCAATCCCCTCAGTAACAGAAGGGAAACAGAGCTTGAGGCAGTTAAGTAACTTTCCCAGAGTCTTACAAACTAGGAAATTCCAGAGCTACAAGGGAAATCTGGGTCTCGGTAACCCCGAAGATTGAACCAAAGAAGCAGCTAAGGAATGTCAAGCCGAGGAGATGATGGCAGCAGGGATGTCCAGACTTCACCCCTGTCCTCTGGTGCTCCCTCCAAATCCAACACCAGCCAGGCCTGTCTTGTTCCCGTCTATTCTTATTCTGTTTGCTCCAACTTTCCTGCAGATACTCATCTGGCTGCCACTCAAGGCGACAAGTGACTCCTTGCCAGGAGACTGAATCTAGAGTGCACAGGCCAGGTGCCCTGCGGGATGGCGCAAGTGCAGGGTAGCACGGCTCTTGGGCAACTCCCCACAGACAGGTTGTGAGCAGATCCAGGGTCAGTGAGAGGGACGGCTGCCCTAAATTCTCCACCCCCGGCTGCCCTTCTGCAAAAGTCTCATAAAGCCCAGCTTCCTGTGTGTGTGTGTGTGTGTGTGTGTGTGTGTGTGTGTGTGTATGTGTCATGGACCAGTGAGTTGGCAGTGGCCGAGGTTTCCAAGAGAAACAAGGCAGAGTGAGCACTTCCTTCTCCACAGGACTGGAGAGGTGGATGTTTGTCTAAGAAACAACAGCCTCCAGAGAAAATCCTCAGCCTCCCTCACAGGGTCTGTGAGTGCAGCTCTGGGGAATCCTCTTTCTCCTTTTTTGTAGGAACTTTATATTCCTGTGATGTTTTCTCACAGCACATCTGAGGAAATGTTGTTTAATTTCTTATTTGCTTTTTAATAATTAAAAAAAAATCTGTGCAGAAGTGTGTGGTACTTCCTTGTGACTTTCTCTGTCTCTGGCTGCTTGGTTGATTCAACATGGGGTGAAGGACAGCCTGAGGCTAAAGTCATTTGGGGCAGGAGGCAGAGAAGTCACGAGTGTCAAGGCACTTCTCCCTCTCTTGGGTGGCAGGGAGACCAGACAGAGGCCTTCAACCTGAAGACAGGCATCCACGGGATGGGGTAGGTATATGGAAGGAACTTACCTGAATTAAATACTTAATGTGGAACAGACATCTCCAAGTATTTACAGTTCATACAAACTTTGAAACTATACTACAATTATTTGGTTCTCCCCAGCAATGGAAAAGGGCTGTAGTGACAATCTTGTCACACAGCTGAGAAACCTCAGTGGTTTTCTCGGTGGTTGAGTGACTTGTCTGAAGTACTCACCCACTCTGCGTTTGAGTCTCTTTGACTCTTGCCCTAAAGATGTGACCAATGCTAGTAGTGGAAGCTCCAGGGTTTATACAGTCCACGAGAGGGTGTACTAGGGATTTCTGGGAGTCCCAGGCACAATGACTGCAGAGGGATGTGTGAGTCAGAGCTGGAGTCCCTCCTCCTTGGGTGTGTAGAGAGAGGGGGTGCTTATGACAGGGGAAGGGAGGAGCAGGGTTTCTCTCCTTCCATAGAGTGACAGTAGGAGGTAGTAGCTAAAAGCACTAACACGATGATGATGATTGATGATGATGATGATGACGACAGCACTAGCATCTATCGCGGGGTTACCAGGTGTCGGGCACTGTTTTAGGACTGAACCTACTTGATTGCATTTAATTGTCAAAATATTCCAATGCATAGAGGGATTTGTTCTAATAGTGTTTGTAAATAGGATATCATGTCCGCATCTTGTACAGCAATTAACCACTAGGAAGAATGTATGCAATGTGTTAATTATTGAAACTGTCCTACCAATTTGGTTTGAAACTGTCTCATTGCTATTTGTCTCTCAATAAAATTATGGGAAAAAGTATTCCAATGCAATGAGCCCCCTTATTTCCACTGCATAGGTGAGAATGCCGAGACCCAGAGAGATTCCATGGTTAGTTAATCCAGGACACAAGCTAGGAGTCATGCAGATCCACTGATCCCATGGCTGAAGCCCTTCTTCAGAGCCGAGCCCCTAGTGATGGGGAACCCAGGATTTAGCATCAGAGAACAAATGATGAAAACCAAGGAAGAGTGCAGCTTCCAGCTGCTTCCCTGGGGATCCCTCTGCCCGGAAACACTCCTACTGGCAGAGATGGCTGAGGGAAGAACAAGAAAAAGATGGTAAAAGACCTGGAAACACTCCAGGAAACTCAGAACATGCTAACCCTGGCTTCACAGGGAGGAATCCCAAGGCTCTGAGGGAAATAAACTGCACAAATGGGACAGTGAGGTCACAAGCAGAGTTAAGATGCACATCTCTGAAGCCTAGACCAAGATTTTTATCACACTGCCACAGAATTTGCCCAGAGAGACCCCACAGTCCCACTCTCTCCGCTGCTAACCTCCCTGACTGCCCTTCAGCCCCACTCCTCTCTCCAGGCTGAGTGAGGAAGGAGTGCAGAGGGGCCCAAATAGCTCAAGCCTGCCTGGAAGGAGCTGGAGATTTAAAACCACAGCCCACAACCTCAAGTCTGCATTCTTCTTGGCCCAGAATTTAATGGGCACAAGCAATCAAGGGAAGCCTGCAGGGCTCCGACAACACAGGGACCCTGCCAGCTCCAGCCAGCAAATGTGCGCACGGGGTGTTCCTGGTAGCAGCGCCAGGAGCTTAGGGGTAGAGCAGCGCTGGGAGTGCCTAGGTGAGCACCGCACAAGGTGGGAGGCAGGTCAGGAGGGAGCCCACTTCTGAGGGCTGCTCTTAGCTGGAGAGAGAGAAGGGGAAAAAACAGGTGGGCTGGGATGTAGCTCAGTGGGACAGCACCTCCCTGGGAAGTGTGAGGCCCTAAGTTTGATTCCCAGTACCAAAAAAATTAAAAAAATACAAATAGAGGGATGGCAGAAGGAAAAGGGAAAGGAAAAACTGATTTACTAGCCAGTGTTTAATTCGACGTTCAGTGTTATGGGTACACTGGAATTTATTTGCCTCCCACACTTTGACTCTGAACTAAAGCCATGGTCCCCTAATATCAATGAAGAATCTGAAAAGAGGACTTGCTGTAGGGCAGAAGGACCAGGAAGGCTGTGTGAGGTTGGCTGGTGAGACTGGGGCTGGCTGAAGAGTGACAGAAAGGAGTTAATGCAAACTACTGGTTTACACATAAACCTCCCCATCACTTCACTCCAGTCTCCCCAAAATCCTGCATTATAATGTTTCAATTTCCAACTTCATGCAGATTTGTGAAGTATGCTTCAAGCCAAAATATGTCATACCTTATATAGTTTATATTATAATGATTTCATTAATTTTAACTATAAGTTTGCAAGGAAAAAACTCAAGATATACTACACCTGAACTACTGTATTAACAGCTGTTCCCTAGTGGGTGACGGAAAGTGAGTCAGTTTTTATTTTAGTTATCATCATTATCTTCATGTATAGTGACATCATTGGTCCCACCTACTATTGCTAGAATCCACCTCCTTCACTGCTAGAGCCCAGGAGATGCACCATATTGGCAGATGACCCTATCTCCTGCCAGGACTTATTTGTCCTGTACTGGATAACACCTCACCAAGTGGAGCTCCTTCTACTGCGACAGAGGAATGGGTTCCCATCACACAGACTTGGCCCTTTGGAGGCCACTATCAGGGCCACATGCAAAGAAAAATGGAGCAATACGAGGCCCACAGGTTGTCTAAAATGTGAATCCAAAAGAAAATAAATGCTTTATTTGCTGAAAAGTCACTGGCAAGCAGTAGGGAATCCAGTAGAGTTTTAGGATAGTTGCAACTGGCCTTGGCATTGCTGGCAGTTGAAATAGAGTGATTCCAGCAACAGATTGGAAAGGAAGGAGAGATTAAGGAGAAAGAGGTGAGGATCTACAGAACTGCCAGTCTTTATGGGGTGTCTGCTGTTCACTGGGAACCGGATACAAAAGCGTGACACTGTCTCACTTAATTATACCACCCTTGGAAAGTGGAACTGTTATGTGGTCTATTTGCCCAATGAAGAAATTGGAGTTCAATGAGGAGAATTAGGTTTAGGAAAGCCCGAAGGATCTTGGACAGTGGCTTTATGGACTAGATCGCCAGCTCTCTTAATACCCTGGTAATGGAAACTGGGAGGTTCCATGGTGAGCAAAACAGAAGGAACCTTCTCACTGAAGAGGATATGGGAACACTGCACCCAGACCAGGAGGCCCCAAGCTGGCTAGCTCATCATCAGAGGTCTGAGCTTTGCCCGTGTGGAAGATTTGGCTCAGCTGTCTGCCCTACATATAATACTCCCTGGCCCTTGCTGCCCTGCACCCCTGGAGGAGAAAGCCCAAGCTGTTCTGTGAACATGCCTGATTTTCTCTTGAATGCTGCTGTTATGATTTATGCCTAGTTGTCCGTGCCAAAAGCTTCATGTAGTCTTTGGGGTAGGCTTCTAGAGTTCATGATGAATTCATGATCCAATGCTGTGATTATGGATGTGAGTGCTATACCCACCCTGGGGTGGATAGTCTGAATACAATACAAGGGAGAAAGAGGGGCTTGCTAGCTGCTGCAGCTGCTGCCCCTCCATTTACTCTTTACTATTTTCTGCCACCATGATGGCTGCCCTCTGCCATGTGCTACCCTGCCTTGGAGCCAGCTGAGTATGGACTGAAATCTCCACAAACTGTGAGCTAAATAAACCTTTCCTTCCTTGATTTTGCATGTCAGGCATTTTTTCCCATCAGTGGAACAAAAGTAACTGAGACAGCTGCCCTGAAAATACAGTGAGATTGGCTTTTGTCTCTGGCCTTCTCAGCTCAAGACTTCCTTACAGGTTTAAATGAGCAAAACTATTGCACCGTGGCAGGCACTGTGTGTGTCCATTTCCCTGTGGTTCCCCAAAGAACTCCTTGGACATCTGATTCTCCTCACATGAGTCATCAAAAGACCCCAAGAAGAAGGACAAAATGCAGACTCTATCTTGAAGGCAGTACAACTGCTTAGGGAAAGTTCCTCCCCTTTCCTTAGGTTGAGCAGATGTTGCATCTGTAACACTTAATGCCTACTGAGTGACTGCTGTGAACTAAGTATTTCTTGGTTGTTAGTTAATAATCCCAACCACCACTGAGTCTGGGACTACCATTATTTTCACTTCTACAGAGATGAACCATTTCTAGAATCATTAACTAACTGTTCTGAGGTAACAGAACTAGTAAGTATCAAAGAAAAACCTAAACTACAAGTATGCCTGGATCTGGAGCCCATGCTTTTAGTCTAGCTGCTAAGAGAGGCCTGCAGAGAGATTGTACTTCAGCCTAGGCTGCCATCCTCTCCATCCACTTCATGTCTGATCAACAAAAGCCTCCAGACAGGGCTCCCTACCTCAGATGTCACCTCCCATTGCACAGCATGTGCTTCCTAAGGGCCAAAGTGGGCTGTGCTCTGTGCTCCTCACTGGCCTGGTGTCTTCTGGGTCCTCAAGAATGTTCATGGCTCGTAAAGTCCTTGCCATGTCTTCATGTCTCTGATGACATGGATGTTGTATTCCTAATATAATATTAAATTATTTAAAATGGAATAGTGATGAAATATATACAGAAAATCTTGAAACCAAAATGTAGAAGGATATGGAAATGAGAGTTTGGAAGAAGCCTTCCTTAGATAAAAAAATCATACTGCGAAGTCAATATTGTGATTAGTCTTGGTGGGGTGGCCAGTGACTGGTTAAAAGGGTATGAGAAGGCTATTGGGGTACTAGTAGTTGTATGTCACTTGACCTAAGTGCTGACCATACAGCTATGTTCATTTTAGGACAGTTACTGAGCATAGAAATTACACTTGGGATTTCTTCATTTTTGTCTATGTACATTTTAGAACAATTGTAGGCAGGTGAATACTGAATGGCTGTCCCTCTGGAGAGAGCAAGTGAAGCCCACTAGTGACGTCTGCCCATTATGCTAGTGTAAATATTGCTTCCATGACTGATTCTGAGCCACCCACACTCCACGTGGGCAGGGCTTGGAAGAGATGTGCTACCCATAGCATTCAACATGACCTCCACCACAAGGATAGGACAGACAGAAACCCAGAACATTGCTAATGGCAAAACAGAGTAAACTAGTGGGGGAGTGATGAGTTGTATTTGCCATCTTCATTTATAAAAATATATTATACTGTAAGGTGTTTTTTGTTTTTTGTTTTTGCAGAAACCAGGATTGAACTCAGGTCCTTGCACTTGACAGGGAAGCACTTATTCCATTCCATCTCCCCAGCCCCTGTAAGTTCTTCATTCTTAATAATGGCTAATTTGACATGAAACTCCTAAAAGCAGTCAGTAGTTGTGAGCCAGTTTAAGCAGGCTCTAGGACACCATTGACATAGACACCAGTAACTCTGGCCACCAACTTCACCGTCCTCTGAAATACTGTTCATCTCAGGCTGCTCTTTCCATTCTTTCAGCCAGCCTCACCTTTCTCCTCAAACCCCTCCTCTTCTACACCCACCTTCAATTCTCCTCTGAGATGCTACAGTCAGGTGATGTGTAAGGGTGTTTCCATCAAGCTCAAAGGCCAACTGCATACACAACAGTGGTCCCATAAGACTGTGTTGCGTATTAACTTCACAACTATCACACTGTGATGTTCACACAGAAGGAGAACTGTGCAAGCCCAAGGACATACTTCGTATCGCCTGTCTTCATCATTAAATGATACATGAATATACTTGCTCTGGGAAGTCATTTCTGACCCACAGCCATGACTGTTCTCATAGCCCTGGGCCCTTACCCAAG